ACAGCATAGAGGATAGTGTATAAAGGAATATCAGTGTACAGCATAGAGAATAGTGTATAAAGGAATATCAATATACAGTATAGATGATAGTATATAAAGGAATATCAGTATACAGCATAGACAATAGTGTATAAAGGAATATCAGTGTACAGCATAGAGAATAGTGTATAAAGGAATATCAGCATACAGTATAGAGAATAGTGTATAAAGGAATATCAGTATACTGCATAGAGAATAGTATATAAAGGAATATCAGTATACAGCATAGATGATAGTATATAAAGGAATATCAGTATACAGTATAGATGATAGTATATAAAGGAATATCAATATTTAGCATAGAGAATAGTATATAAAGGAATATCAGTATACTGCACAGAGAATAGTATATAAAGGAATATCAGTATACTGCATAGAGAATAGTATATAAAGGAATATCAGTAAACAGCATAGAGAATAGTGTATAAAGGAATATCAGAATTTAGCATAGAGAATAGTATATAAAGGAATATCAGTAAACAGCATAGAGAATAGTGTATAAAGGAATATCAATATACAGTATAGATGATAGTATATAAAGGAATATCAATATTTAGCATAGAGAATAGTATATAAAGGAATATCAGTATACTGCACAGAGAATAGTATATAAAGGAATATCAGTATACTGCATAGAGAATAGTATATAAAGGAATATCAGTAAACAGCATAGAGAATAGTGTATAAAGGAATATCAGTGTACAGCATAGAGAATAGTGTATAAAGGAATATCACTAAACTGCATAGAGAGTAGTATATAAAGGAATATCAGTATACAGCATAGAGGATAGTGTATAAAGGAGTATCAGTATACAGTTTAGATGAAAGTATATAAAGGAATATCAGTATACAGCATAGACAATAGTGTATAAAGGAATATCAGTGTACAGCATAGAGAATAGTGTATAAAGGAATATCACTAAACTGAATAGAGAGTAGTATATAAAGGAATATCAGTATACAGCATAGAGGATAGTGTATAAAGGAGTATCAGTATACAGTTTAGATGAAAGTATATAAAGGAATATCAGTATACAGCATAGAGAGTAGTATATAAAGGAATATCGGGATACAGCATAGAGAGTAGTATATAAAGGAATATCAGTATACAGCATAGATGATAGTATATAAAGGAATATCAGTATACAGTATAGAGAATAGTGTATAAAGGAATATCAGTATACTGCATAGAGAATAGTATATAAAGGAATATCAGTATACTGCATAGAGAATAGTATATAAAGGTTATCTATGTCTAGTGTGTTATATTTGAGAACAGCTCTATCAATAGAGAATAGTGTATCAAGGAATATCAGTATACAGCATAGAGAGTAGTATATAAAGGAATATCAGTATACAGCATAGACAATAGTGTATAAAGGAATATCAGTGTACAGCATAGAGAATAGTGTATAAAGGAATATCACTAAACTGCATAGAGAGTAGTATATAAAGGAATATCAGTATACAGCATAGATGATAGTATATAAAGGAATATCAGTATACAGTATAGATGATAGCATATAAAGGAATATCAGTATACAGCATAGAGAGTAGTGTATAAAGGAATATCAGTATACAGCATAGAGGATAGTGTATAAAGGAGTATCAGTATACAGTTTAGATGAAAGTATATAAAGGAATATCAGTATACAGCATAGACAATAGTGTATAAAGGAATATCAGTGTACAGCATAGAGAATAGTGTATAAAGGAATATCAGTGTACAGCATAGAGAATAGTGTATAAAGGAATATCAGAATTTAGCATAGAGAATAGTATATAAAGGAATATCAGTATACAGAATAGAGAATAGTGTATAAAGGAATATCACTAAACTGAATAGAGAGTAGTATATAAAGGAATATCAGTATACAGCATAGAGGATAGTGTATAAAGGAGTATCAGTATACAGTTTAGATGAAAGTATATAAAGGAATATCAGTATACAGCATAGATGATAGTATATAAAGGAATATCAGTATACAGTATAGAGAATAGTATATAAAGGAATATCAGTATACAGAATAGAGAATAGTGTATAAAGGAATATCACTAAACTGAATAGAGAGTAGTATATAAAGGAATATCAGTATACAGCATAGATGATAGTATATAAAGGAATATCAGTATACAGTATAGATGATAGCATATAAAGGAATATCAGTATACAGCATAGAGAGTAGTATATAAAGGAATATCGGGATACAGCATAGAGAGTAGTATATAAAGGAATATCAGTATACAGCATAGAGAGTAGTATATAAAGGAATATCGGGATACAGCATAGAGAGTAGTATATAAAGGAATATCGGGATACAGCATAGAGAGTAGTATATAAAGGAATATCGGGATACAGCATAGAGAGTAGTATATAAAGGAATATCGGGATACAGCATAGAGAGTAGTATATAAAGGAATATCGGGATACAGCATAGAGAGTAGTATATAAAGGAATATCAGTATACAGCATAGATGATAGTATATAAAGGAATATCAGTATACAGTATAGATGATAGTATATAAAGGAATATCAGTATACAGCATAGAGAATAGTGTATAAAGGAATATCAGTATACTGCATAGAGAATAGTATATAAAGGTTATCTATGTCTAGTGTGTTATATTTGAGAACAGCTCTATCAGTCATTTTCTATGTTTAGGGTGTTATATTTGAGAACAGCCCTATCGGTCATTTTCTATGTTCAGGGTGTTATATTTGAGAACAGCCCTATCAGTCATTTTCTATGTTTATGGTGTTATATTTGTGAACAGCACTATCAGTCATTTTCTATTTTCAGGGTGTTATATTTGTGAACAGCCCTATCAGTCATTTTTTATGTTCAGGGTGTTATATTTGTGAACAGCCCTGTCAGTCATTTTCTATGTTCAGGGTGTTATATTTGTGAACAGCCCTATAACTCATTTTCTATATTCATTGTAGGATATTTATGAACAGCCCTATCAGTCAATTTCTATTATGCATTGTAGGATGTTTGTGAACATCCCTATCACTCTTTTTTTTCCAAATTTATGAGGCCTCTATTTTCATCTAAATCCATCTATACCTTGTTGCATATTTAACTGATAACACATAGCCGAGTTTTTCTGATTCAGTACTAAATTGAGCATTATTCAATCATTGACGGCCTCACACAATATTAAGCGGTAAGTACTGAAACTCGTATGTCACCCGTCCCCTGTACCTTCGGAATAGCACCATGGGGTTTTCATCGTATAGAGCTAAAATACAGCACATAAACTTACACAAAAAATGATCAAAAAGAAAACCTTTGATTCGCTATGACCATGTGGTCTTGTTTGATATGTTTGGCCTGTTAGATATGTTTGGCCTTGTTAGATGTGTTTGACCTGTTAGATATGTTTGGCCTTGTTAGATGTGTTTGACCTGTTAGATATGTTTGGCCTTGTTAGATGTGTTTGACCTGTTAGATATGTTTGGCCTTGTTAGATATGTTTGGCCCTGTTAGATAAGTTTGGCCTTGTTAGATATGTTTGGCCTTGTTATATATGTTTGGCCTCGTTAGATATGTTTGGCCCTGTTAGATAAGTTTGGCCTTGTTAGATATGTTTGGCCCTGTTAGATAAGTTTGGCCTTGTTAGATATGTTTGGCCCTGTTAGATAAGTTTGGCCTTGTTAGATATGTTTGGCCCTGTTAGATAAGTTTGGCCTTGTTAGATATATTTGGCCTTGTTAGATATGTTTGACCTGTTAGATATGTTTGGCCCTGTTAGATATGTTTGGCCTGTTAGATGTGTTTGACCTGTTAGATATGTTTGGCCTTGTTAGATGTGTTTGACCTGTTAGATATGTTTGGCCTTGTTAGATGTGTTTGACCTGTTAGATATGTTTGGCCTTGTTAGATGTGTTTGACCTGTTAGATATGTTTGGCCTTGTTAGATATGTTTGGCCTTGTTAGATATATTTGGCCTTGTTAGATATGTTTGGCCCTGTTAGATAAGTTTGGCCTTGTTAGATATATTTGGCCTTGTTAGATATATTTGGCCTCGTTAGATAAGTTTGGCCTTGTTAGATATGTTTGGCCTTGGCCTTGTTAGATATATTTGGCCTCGTTAGATAAGTTTGGCCTTGTTAGATATGTTTGGCCTTGTTAAATATGTTTGACCTGTTAGATATGTTTGGCCTCGTTAGATATGTTTGGCCTCGTTAGATATGTTTGGCCTTTTTAGATATATTTGGCCTTGTTAGATATGTTTGGCCTTGTTATATATGTTTGGCCTCGTTAGATATGTTTGGCCCTGTTAGATAAGTTTGGCCTTGTTAGATATGTTTGGCCTTGTTAAATATGTTTGACCTGTTAGATATATTTGGCCTTGTTATATATGTTTGGCCTTGTTAGATATGTTTGACCTGTTAGATGTATTTGGACTTGTTAGATATGTTTGACATGACCTGTTAGATATATTTGGCCTTGTTAGATATGTTTGACCTGTTAGATGTATTTGGACTTGTTAGATATGTTTGACATGACCTGTTAGATATATTTGGCCTTGTTATATATGTTTGGCCTTGTTAGATATGTTTGACCTGTTAGATGTATTTGGACTTGTTAGATATGTTTGACATGACCTGTTAGATATATTTGGCCTTGTTAGATAAGTTTGGCCTTGTTAGATATATTTGGCCTTGTTAGATATGTTTGGCCCTGTTAGATAAGTTTGGCCTTGTTAGATATGTTTGGCCTTGTTAGATATATTTGGCCTTGTTAGATATGTTTGGCCTTGTTATATATGTTTGGCCCTGTTAGATAAGTTTGGCACTCCTGGAGACGGGCTTATAGACTTACTTTGACACGTGTTTTTATTGGTTGTTTTCAGGCGATGTTGTGATAGCGTTTTTCGCCTGTTGGGCGCCTTTCCACTCCTGGAGACGGGCTAATAGACTTACTTTGACACGTGTTTTTATTGGTTGTTTTCAGTCGCTGTTGTGATAGCGTTTTTCGCCTGTTGGGCGCCTTTCCACTCCCAGAGATTGATGACTATATATGTCAAGCAGCACCAGTGGACAAAAGAACTATACACAGTCCAGGACTACCTGTTCTACATCTCAGGTGAGTTGATAGGTGAAATGATTACTATAGTACATTAAAATGTGCAGCCTGGGATAGGAGAGAAACAAACTGTAGGTAGGAGCTGCCAAATAACTCGTGTGTGTCTCCCATCCCGAAGTACGCTATCATTATGAAATATTTTACATAAACTGCTTATTGTATATTATACGTTTGACACTACAGTACATATGAGTTGATAGTTATATGAGAGCTAAGTTGATTGCTATATCACAGGTGAGTTGATTGCTATTCCACAGGTCAGTTAATTGCTATATCACAGGTGAGTTGATTGCTATATCACAGGTGAGTTAATTAAGTTTAAGTTTTATTCAAACTTTGGGCCATTTGGCCCATCAGTATACAAAACATTTTTTTAAACAAATCATGGACAATGTACAGAGGATGAAAACAATCATATTCCATTATAATACCCTTAATTTGTTTGCCTCATATATGAATTTTCCTAGTATACACAATTCTTTAATATTATGGACACTCAATAACTGGACGACTTTAAACACAGATGGTTTTTTCCAATAATAGCTTTTGATAAAACGAGATCTGAGATTTTGGAATTTAGAACAGACCAATAAAAAATGAAATTCGTCCTCTAATTCAGAGGGGGAGTTACACTGTTTACAATATCTACGTTCTCTAGGTATATTATTATACCTTCCAACTTCTATAGCTAAAGAATGGGTAGATGTACGTATTCGAGTTAAACAAATGCGATATTTCTTTGGTATATATTTTGTGAGGTAAAATTGTAATGTTTCTCCAAAATCTATTATATGTTTATACAATAAACATTTTGGAGAGTTTTCCACTGTGGCCCTTAGGGATTGTATGCCTTGATCAAAAATTCTTTGTTTTATCAATGGTAATAACAGATTTTGCTGAGAGATGCATGGATTAAACCAAACATCACTAAGACCTAGATTGTTTAATTCATCTCTTACTGCTATAGCCCAGTTGAAATCATTTCTACTACAACATTGTAATAAAAACCTATAGGAAGTTGATATAATACAATTTTCAGATTTTAATAATTTAAACCAATATTTTATCATTCTAATTTTTCTCATACAAACTAGAGGTAACCGTCCCAATTCAAGATATACCATGTTGTTATTGGCCGATTTCTTCACTTTTAGTAGTTTCTTACAAAAATGTAAATGTACATGTTCTATCTCTGGAGCTTTGTGCATACACCAAATTTCACTTGCATAGAAAAGGATACTGCTTACATATGTATCGAAAAGATGGAGCATAGTTTTTACATTTAAGTTTAATGATGAACACTTTGCAAATAATGCAAACATAGCTTTTCGTCCTTGGCTAGCTAATTGTTTTTGTATAGATGTGAATTTATTGTTGTAATTTAAAATAACACCTAGGTAAGGAAATTGATCCACACATTCAACCTTACTTCCTTTGTAATACCATTTTTCCTCATTATGCAATCTTCCACCTTTTCTAAAAACTACAATTTTTGTCTTTTCAGCATTTACAGTTAAATTCCATTCAGTACAATATTTTTCTAAATTATCAAGCATATCTTGGAGACCTTCTACAGTCTCGGAGAATAATACCAGATCATCAGCATATAGCATCAGATATAAACTGAGTTCCTCAAACTCATAACTACCCTTGCAATTTTGTATAAAATATGATTCAAAATCATTTATATACATAGAAAAAAATATCGGTGACAGAATTTCACCCTGTAATAATCCAACCCTGTTAAGAAAAAAATCTGACAACTTTCCATCTAATTTAACACAAGATTTAACATGAGAGTACATAGACCTTACAACTTGTAATAGCTTTCCTCTTATACCAAGTTTTGATAGCTTATTCCATAAATTTATTCTATTTACCATATCAAATGCTTTACGAAAATCGACAAAGCAACAATACAATCTTTTCTTATTAATAAATGATTTGGATATAATAGAATGTAAACAAAATATAGCATCTACTGTACTAAGACCAGGTCTAAACCCAAATTGAGCATCAGTTATTACATCATATGTTTCTGACCATTTTAAAAGTCTATTGTTTAAAACAGAAGTGAATAATTTTCCTAAACAACTTACTATACTTATACCTCTAAAATTGTTAGGGTCAGTTAGGTCACCCTTTTTATGTACCGGTGTAATTACAGCAACTGCCCAATCAGCAGGATAGAGACCAGAGTCCAATATATTGTTAAAAAGTTTACACAAAATAGGTAATAAAATATCCCTCCCTACCAATAAACTTTCATTTAAGATGCAATCTATACCATGGGATTTTCCCTTCTTTAAATTACTGATTGCTTTGCAAATTTCATCAATAGTAATTACTTGGTCCAATTCTTCATATAGTGGTACTTCATCTGAATGATTGTGAGATTGATCAGGTTCTTGATCAGAGTTATCGTTCCTGGCCAAATTTTTGAAGTGCTCAAATAAAACTTTCAATTCAATATCTGGTTTCTTGGACTTGGTTGCAGTGAAATTTCTGTAAAATTCCTTAGGATTGTTAAATCTCATGTATTCAAGCATGTCGCCTTCACACTTTAAGTACATTCTTTTTTTCATAGATTCTTTTAATTTATAGTTCCTTTTCTTCTCCACAAGCAGAGCATGATTAAATACATTTTTTTCCTTATTGAAGTTATACAGAGCTGATTTGTACAAGTTGTACAAAGTTTTCAATTCCATATCAAACCATGGTTTATCAGTATTAAAATTGATTAACCCATCTCGGCATGTATAATTATGGTTATCTTGATTGGCATCACAATATTTAGTTAATTTTACAAGGAAAGGTTCCATAGATTTCATCAGTATTTCAGTAAAACTACTCACACTAGTGTTAATATCAGACTGACTAACAGCATCAGGGATGGTTACAGCAACACATAGGTTCTCCTGATTGTCAGACAACAAATTTAAAAAACAATCCTTAAAATCATCATTCCATTTGTATAATGGTTTACGCTCACCACTTTCAGTAACCTCATGTGTAACAGTGTGATAAATCTGACATTTTAATTGAATATGCAAAGGAGCATGGTCAGAAAATACATTAAAATTTGAAATTATAAATTGTTCCAGAATATTAAATAATGAATCTGTAATTATACAGTAATCTATAGTACTCATGCCGTTGTGTCCATAGTATGTAAAATCATTAGAATATCCTTGTTGGTCTCTTCCGTTACATATACACATATTACATGATTTACATAGCTGTATCAGGCGATTACCAAAAGTGTTAATTACTACATCTGGGTTATGCCTGATTTTTAAACCGTCATCAGGTTCATAATTTATTATATTGGAGAGGCAATTTTTAATACTGGAATGAATTACATCATTCTGGATATAATCAGGTAGGATACCTGTACGACTATTAAAATCTCCAACCATCATAATGTCCCCGAGGGAACTATAATTTACAATACCATTTTCAAGTTCAAAGAAAAGGTCACAGTTGTACATGTTATAATATACAGAACTAGAAGGTGGCATGTAAACACATGCTATATATAAATCATTTTGGTTATCAATAAGGGTTTTCGATACCTTTAACCATATGATTGAATCATATATTGATTCAATTACAGATACATAATTTACAAACACGTTTTTAACAAGAATAACCATCCCACCACCTTGAGATCCTACAACTAGTAATCTAGGGTAAATATAACACGAAAACCCCTCAATTGATAAAGAATAATCATTGGGTATCCAACATTCAGATAGAAAAATCAAGTCATATGTCTTGATATAATTTAAAAAACTTATTGTCTTTAACTTATTGTCAAGTCCACCGTTTATGTTCCATGATAGAACTTTGAGATTCTGGGGCGTGTCCCCACACTCCACATTGTCCTATGAAACAGGATGATGTCCACGACCGACATTTCCTCGTCCACTTCCTCGTCCACGACTAGCTTTGCCTTGACCACGACTAGCTGTTCCTTGGCTGGCTCTGTTACCATGATTACTTGGCTTAGGGATGGCTCCACCAGTGTCCTTGGTAGTGGTCGCTATTACTGTAGGCTCGGTGTACAAAATACCATCAATGTACAACTTTTCACGCACAAAGTATGCCTTCTTTCCCTCGTCCCGAGCACTCTTACATGCTGGCCAAAGCCTCCTCCTAGTCTCACGAACTTCCCAGGGGAATTGTTCTGTTATGCGAAATTTAGATCCTTTCAACTTTTTGGGTGCTAATTGTTTAATTTTTTCTTTTTGGTCACGCCTTTTAAACCTTGCGACTATAGGCCTGGCCTTACCTTCCGCTTTATGTCCGACCCGATGAGCACGCTCTACATAGGTCTCCTCGCGTACCTCCAGTTTTTCTTGTACAACACGTATAACCTTGTTTACACAGTCTTCTGTAGGTACTCGTATGTCATCTTCGACTTTAAAGTCTTCACCATCCGACTCATCAATACCAAAAAAGAGGAGATTGTCTCTCATGGAGCGACATTTCAACTCTAATATGTCACTTGCCACTGAATCCATGTTGACCTGAATACCAGTGACATCCTGTTTGACTCTGTAATGCTGATGCTCCTCAAAAGAATTGTTTAGGAAAGACTGTGATTTCTCCAACTCGTCCATTCTTAGTTTTAGGATATTCATATCTTCATTAATTCCAGATACAGATTTTTCAATATTGTCTAGCTTGGCCAATTTACTGGTGAGAGTATCCACTTTAGAAATTAATGACTTGGCCCACGCCGGGGTGGTTTCGTTGGTAGGAGCGGGGTTTTGAGGACTGGTCATAGTATAATTACCACATTGCTGATTACCGTGTGCCGGAGGATAGTTAAAATGTGAATTCATATTCATAAATTGAGGACTGGTGGCGTTGTTGTACCATTGTTGAGTGTTCATAGGTGTCCCCATAGGCATACATGGCAAACCTGGCTGATTGTCCATCATAGGCTGAACTGTAGTGTAACCGCACGTGCTATTACGACTAGTGAGTGGCTA